GCCGCGGCCAGTGTCGCCGAGGATTTTTTTTTTCTAAATAAAAGTTTCCTTTCTACTTTTGTTTGGTGGCTGCCGATTGCTCGTTTCCTCGTCAGCTCCTCGGTTGCTGCTGTTCCCTCAGGGTTGTGGTTCCCTGCCGGGAGCTGGGCTGCTCGCCCGTGCGTCCAGCGCTTTCCTCTCGCCCTGGTGCTCTTCGGCCTCCCACCCCCTCAGGCGTCGTGCTGTAAAATCCAAAAGCTCTTAAAAATGCCCTCTTCCATGTTGGCAGAACTGGGACGGAGACATCGGTGTCTACGTCTCCGCCCTCCTTCACCCCCCTGCCACATCCGTGTGTGCTCTATGGGGCCGTCTCTGTGTGGCGAGCATCAGGCAGAGCTCCGAGTCCTGGGGCGAATGGCGAGGGTCACTTCTCGGCTGGCAGAATAGCTGTAGTGCCTGTGGCAAGTGCACTCAAAGACTGAGCAATCTTTCTGCCTTGGGTGTGACACCTGAATTATTCACATTTTCCTGAGGGCCTGTGTAGGATTTCGGCATTACTTTTTCAGTGCAGTGAGTGCTTTGGGCTACTTCGGTAAAATCATTATGGTTCACATTATTAAGGAGTTGAACTAGAGTATGTTCCTCCACCGTTTCTGTAGCTGTGCCAATATAGCACAGTGAACTATGTAACCAGGAGGGAGGTCGGAAGGATGACAGCCAGGAAAGAGAACAGATAAATCTGAGAAGAAGCTAGAAAGGGAAAGGTTGGGTCCAACGGGACCTTAGAAGGTGGAAGCAGCAGGTTTGTGAATAAAATTTGGAAGGACGTGTAAAACGGTTTGAGATGGAAGGGCTTTCACAAAATTGCGTTGGTGTGGAGGAAGTGTTATGAACTGCAGAAAATTATTGAGCTAGGTTGACTATGCATTGTCTGGTAAAAATAAACACATCCTCAGACACAAGTGTGTGTAAAGGCCTAGTTAAAGTCTTCAGTCTGGAGTTATGCTTTAAGTGGTATCTGTATCTTCATTTTCAAAAACAACTACAATCATCATTACTTTACTTATTTTTTCCACTTCTGCAAGAATATATGTTCCCTATTTGCTCCTCTGTCATTTTACTTAAGTCTTTGCCATGCCTTTGCTGTAATGACATTCTGCATGGTGTAATAAGGTGCAGGAAAGTGGAGTTCATAGCAAACAGACTGTGCTTCAGCTTGATGCCTGAAGCTTGCTTAATTATTATTAGCAAAAAAATAAGTGAATATAGTGATTAAGACTTTAATTTTATCTCTGAAGTTTATGCAGGAGATCATTTCAATTGAACGTTGTTCATAAATACTTTTTCTTTCTGGAGAGGCTGTGTATTGTAATGGTCTTTCATTTTTATAAGTATATGTATTTATAATTATAACAATAATAATAAGTTCGTATTTAATTTTAAAATATAAATTTACAAACATATGGAGATACCTTTATATGTTTAGCATCTAAGAAAAAATGAGCGGAAATAAATAATTTCCTGGAAATTTGTGCTAATTTTCATTATTAAGAGGATGGTTGTGGTAAACCAACCACAGAACCACTCTGTTCTGTGCCGTTGCTGAATCTTGCTAAACATCATTTGCATTGTTTTGGTTGTTTAAATTGGGTGGTATTTAAACACTGGAGTGAGCCATATAGCATGTGAAAAATCTGTGGTTTAGATTCAGTGTATTAATAATCAATTTTTTTTACTTCTGTTCACTGTCAAGTAATCTTAGATTACAAGTAGTCTCTTTTGAGGTGGCAGGAGTGATAGACATCACGTTGGAGTATCTTAACATGTAGAGGTTTTCTCCATTCATGCACTAACACTATACGATTTACACTTCCTGCATTAATTCAATATGTAAAATACCTCTGTTTTTCATTTTGTCTGCTGAACTAGAGAAACGGTATTGTGTCAGGATTAACATGTATTAGGCTGTGGATAAGAGGAGTGGTAAATACAGTGAATTTGTTTTCTGATTTCCAAAAAATACATAGTTATGTTACTTTAACTTGAGAGCTTTTTTGTTTTGTATACTAGAAAATACTGACAGTTTTTCTAGTAACTTTCTATAAACATTAAATTGTCTAAACATCTTAAGGGTTAAAATCAAAACCAAATAGGGTTACTAAATTATATGAGATCAACTTAAGCCTGTTGGGGTTCGCTAATACTCATGGTAGCTATCCCTACACTTATCTAGGCAAACTTTCTTTCACTGTTTTAGGCTTATTTGGCATTTTTTTAGAAATACTTTGCCATTAAAAAGAAGTTATTTTCCTTTTTTCTTTTCCCCCTGCAAATTAATGGAGATTAATAAGGATAAGGGATGAAAAAGTATGGAAGAGTAGGAGTTCATAATAGGATGTTAAACACCTATTTCCTGCAAAAGAAAGGAAAAGGTATGTCATTTTAAACTCATGTGCTACAATTCTCTGGAGCACACGCTTGTAACTTCATATATGACTATTAAATTTGTGTTCATGCACAGGTTCTACATTCCCTGCATAAAATGTAGACACAAAGTCATGTAGGCGGATGCCAGTATGTTATTCGAGGATGGCAGATTCTGCTGTGCGACCACATATACTGTCTTTCAGCTTTAGCTGACATTGCTACAGTGCTGCTTAGGACTTTCCACGCAAGCAGGGAATGACACTTTTAAGAAGTAAAGATTGTGGCTGTGGAGCATCATCCCATTAAAAACTAGTTAGGCCTGATGGATGGAGAAATAAGTCGTAGTGTTGAACAAAAGGAGACCATGGAAAGCAGCTTTCTCTCAGTCGTGGGCAACAATCCCCTACAATGTCTGGAAAGATTATTAACTTCAAGTTAAGTCATAACGAAAAGGCTGCTTTCAACTTGCAATGTGGACTTTGTATTTTAAGTCTTATTAATACCGTTAGCTAGGAAAGAGTCAGACCTTAGAAGCCCTTCTTTCAAGAGGTATACTCCTTGTTCCAAACCTCTCTTTCAAAGGTTCTTTTTGAAGTTATTTGTATGAAATTTGTCTCTTGAAATCAGTATCTAATGTATGCATGTGATTTGGTTTTAGGATGATTGCTCTCTGGCATTTATTTTTGAATGGAAGGATGCTCTTTTCCAGTAGAAGATGGTGATCCTAATGTATGATCATGGAGAAGGGGATAAGCTCAGTAGAAGTGTTACCTTCCAAATCGTCTCAGGTTACAGCTGTAAAAGTGGTGGTCAAAGAGCCCGAAACAAAGCAAACCCAAAGAGGGAAACGAGTGGGATTTGTGCTTGTCCATGCAGGTAAGATGCAGAAGCATAGCAGCTGGAATGGAAATAATGCATATACAAACTAAATATCAACTAAAATTTCATATTGGCTTTGGACTGCTAGTATGTTAATGAACTGACATTAACTTTGGATGTAAATCCAAAGTGAGAGAGTGGAGAGTTTGATTAAAAGTTGCATTCACTGAAGGATCTTGGAAACTGTTAATAAAAATGCAGGGTTTTGGGTGTTCTGAATGTTGTGGGGTTGTTTGTTTTTTTTTTTGTCCTTGACAAAGAAAACCTCAAACAAAATCCATAAATTTTGAATGGTTATAAAATGTCAAATTCTGTAGTTGTCTGCTAAGCTTGGGAAACCTACAAAATACAAGAGATCTTTCAGTCTATTTCTTTACCCTGTAGAAGAATCAAACGTAGCTGTTCATTACTGAGAGTTTCTTGTCTAACTTGTCCATAGGGACAGTCTAGTTAAGACTTTTCGAAACCTCCTTACGCCATTTGTTGCAGAACTTCACTTTACCCTTTTGAAAGTTTTCTACCACGTCTCATTTTTTTTATCTTGTTCATACATAAATGAATTACTATTTATTCTTTCCATGTGTGATGAAGAGGTCATCTACTCAGATGCGATACAAAAATGATGTGTTATGTGTGTCTTCCTCATAAATTCTTTTCTAATAAGTTCTTTCTTAAATACTATTAATCTTGACAATATTAGCAATGCTTATATCTGGCTGTATATTTGTTTTTAGCATATGTGTGATGACATGAGGTGAAAGTGAGCAAAGTAGCCTGGTGACACCCAAAATATTTGAAAAGCCAGCATGCTGCTTAGTTTATAAAATCCATAAGGTTAAAAAAAGAAACACAACCTGAAGCTGAAAGAACTTATTCTGGGGTGATATTTTATGACCCTGGTATTATATTTAAAGAGCAAACAGAAATATTCAATATATTGGTCTTTACTGGGTTACTTTACTCTGTTTAGAATTTTTTTTCTTTCACTAGTAGTGTTAAAGCTTATTTTATTAGAGTTTTTCAAGGTAGCATTTCTATAAGGTGAGGAAAGGGAAGTTGAGATAAATGCAAGCATATTTTTCCAGTTCAAAAACTGGGAAAACAGAATAAGTGGAATTTAAATATCAGTGTGCTAGTCTCATCTGTTCTTTTTCTGATGCTGCACTTGGTCAAATAGTGGGTATTGTTAAATTTTTCAGGTATGGAAGTAGGGGGCAGTGGCTACGAAACAGGGCAAAATGGTTAGATGCAATGGGATAGACATAAAGGCTGAAAATGAGAAAAAGATTTAAAAAAATTATATGATCTTTATTTCAAGGAACTCTCCTGGTTCTAAAGCAAGAGTAGTGAGCTCTAAAAATATAGCATAAACAAGAGAAGGTGAACAGAATGGTAATTGCAAACTTGCAAATCAGTGGTGTTTTAACTTGAAACCAAGGTTTTTGCCCAATAATGAACAATAAATAAAAAAGCTATGCTGTAAATCCTTCAAGAATGAGCAAAACTGGAATTTCTTGGACAGTGTTTATAGGAAGAGATTGTATGATACTGAGATTTATACCTATATGCTTCTGTGTATGTGCTCTGTATCCTATATTTTACTGAGTGTACTTGAATCAATGTTGAAATGCATAAAATTGTCAATCGTTGATACAAAAATGAAATGCCAATGTAATCCAGAATAAGGAAGGCTACATCTGCCTTTACGTTAAAGTGATGTATCTTTATGTGAACTATAAGCTGTACTTTGACAGGTAGTATAATATCTTTTCCTTTTGCTTTAATTGTAGGTGCAGGTTATCATTCTGAATCCAAAGCTAAAGAATACAAGCATGTGTGCAAAAGAGCCTGTCAGAAGGTATGTCTTAGCAGCTCCACAGTCTTGTAGTGGGTTTTACAAGAAATATATTCAGTAGCGCTGCCACTTCAATATTAATGGGCATATCTGGGTTTAGCTGCTCAGGCTGTGTGCATTTCTAGAGGAAAAACGAAGCAGCAACAGTTAATGTGATACAGAGTCAATAGAGTGCATGGCCGTGAGGTGGAGCAACGTTCTTATCAGTGGTGGCAAGAGCAGACAGCAAGGGAACAGTGGAGGAACTGGAGAAGATTGCAGTGATGCCTACACAGAGTATTCCTACAGCTTCCTGCACTGTTCCTGAGGCTTTGGGATTTCTGGAGCTAAATATGGTGTCTGGAATTTTCTTTCATCAATGTCCATTCTCTTTGGAACTTATTTTAAATTCTAGCATCCAGATTACTCTGTGAATACAGGGATTTCTGGAATTATTTTATTCTTGATAGCTTTGAACTCCTTAATAGGAAGGGAGGTAGAAATAGGAAAAACAAAACAAGAAATGAAAACCCTCTTCCCAATGCCGGAGAGGGAGAAATGGCAAGACTTTCATTTCCATTGAAATTATTATTTTTTTTTAATCTCCTCCAAGAACTTGCTTTAGAACTGGCAAATCCTGTCTACTAAGTGTTGAATGAGAATATGAAAGACCTGTCTCCAGTTTTTAATGCCTTTTGCTTTCTCCAGGGAGAAGGAGCTGGAGAGCTTGGCAGGGTTTTTAGAGGAGTCTCAGAGCTGGCCTCTGATAATTATCACTTCATTTTACAGTTCTGTTGCTCAATCCTAATACCAATCTAATTTTGTAATGAGGAGCCTCAAAAATCACCCAAACTTAAAACCAGCTTGGTTAAAGTTGTGCATTAGCCCTGATGATAGTCGCTTTCCATCTAGTTATGTGTGGAAAACGGTTGTTTGCTGTTGAATTTAAGTCTAATTTGAGATTCTGTTTGGTTCCTTAAGCTAAGTAGCCAATTTAAATGACTTGTATGAAGAACAAAGTGTCGCAGGTTTGTTTTACAACTGAAGATGCAGCCATAGTTGTTTTCTGGGGTTCCCTGAGAGAAGCTGACTGTAAGGTCTTGTCCAGTATGCATCTGAGGAATAATATTAGGCTCTAGAAGTTAATTTTTGTGTGCGTATATAATTTGAAGATAACATTGTCTTATATTATTTGGTTTTGTGTGTTGGCTTTTAGATGAGCCTACTTGTAGATTCTGTTCAATTTCATGGCAATTGCCATATATGGTTTTAGGGTTTTTTGTTGGATCTTGGAAAGAAAATTAGAAACTTCTTGACTGACACATTAAATGTTTGAGGACACCAGGTATAAGATTTTATTTTATTATTAATTTGACCATGCAGGTATCTGCTAGTAAATGCAGTGTCTCAGTGTCCGAGTAGTAAAATCATGCCTTCAGATCTGCCCTTGCTTGGTGCATACTGAGTATTTACAGTGTCTCTTTTTTTTATGTTCTCTTTCATCTTAAACTGATTTGTTGAGGATTTTGTTTTGTACAGGATTTAGGAAAACATAGAGCTTAGTCACAGAATATTATAATTTCCTAATCATCGACTAAAAATTCTGTTTTACAGGCAATTGAAAAGCTACAGGCTGGTGCTCTTGCAACAGATGCAGTGACTGCAGCACTTATAGAATTAGAGGTATGAATTTCTAACTAGTAGTAAATATGTCTCAAGTACGTTGCCAGATTTTTCTGTAGGAAAGTATTAATTCAAATGGCAAATCTACTGAGATTTCCATTTTTGTGACTTATATTTAGTTATCTGTGCAGACATGGAAGCTATGCTAATTTTATCTTTTGCTTTTCTACTATATTTTGTAGTAAATTTATTTAAAGGCTTTCTAAAAATGCAAACTGAGTAAAAGTTGTCTAGTTGGTGCAATTTTTGTTGTCATCTTAGGTATGCCTTACCAGACAGACTTTAACCTTGAAGAGTAAATACAGTCATTAAAGACTTACTGAACACTTTGTAGGGAACTTTATTTCTGACTTTCCAAGCTACAGGCAGACTGCACTGGCTCTGCTTCTTAGAAAGGGAAAAAATAATTTTACTGGTCATGTACGTTAACTAGAAATTCTAGGATAAGTCCTCATGCCTTTTGTTTGCATTAATATCTCACACTGAGTTATGTTTCATTTCTTGAAATTATGAACCAAAGAATTTAGATGTAGTTAGTCTTTAGTAGTTCTATTAACACTCTCAAGTAGTAATTATATTGAGGTAACTGTTTCCAAGTATGCTTTCTTGAATTGTGTTATTCATACCTTTTTCAGTTCTTTGGGATAATTCTATAAAAGTGAGATAATTCTACAAAAGTGATTGCATAAATTTAAGGCTGCCTGTCTCTCCATCCAATTAAAGGACTATATGAAAATGAAGTAGGAATTTTAAATTCTCACTTGTCCCACAATGTACATTTGCTATGACCCGTTAATTAATGTGGTTCCCAAATTTTTTTTTACATCTTTTTTTATGTTGTTTCTGTATGATCTCTGATAGGATAAGAGACTAGAAGCAGACTGTTTAGAGAAATGTGACTTCAGTGTAAGACAATGGTTTTTTTCTGATTTTTACAATTAACTGTGTGTAGAAGAATAGGACAAGTAATGCTTTTATTTCAAAATGGTACTTGTTAATTAAGATATAAAGTCTTGATAATCATAAGGAGATGAGCAGATGTTTGTGAGGTTTTTGAAAAAGTATCTTTGTGGAATACTGAAATTTTTACAGCATCTGACTTTAGTGGAAGGTCCCTATGAAACAATGTAGAAAGGGGTAAAGCTAAAAGAATTTCTGGGATATAAATGAGGCAGTTTAGTTATTGTCCCAGGTCCACTAATCCCTCATGGTAGTAATGACTGAAACAGGTATTCCTCTTCTCCTCTAAGGAGTAATTGCTTCTTCCTCTCCAACTTCATTAGTAAAGAAGGAAGGCAAGGTAAGTGTTGTGTTGTAAAAATAATTTCCTGGGTTTGGAATTTATGGTAGTGTTCTGAGAGGATTAGTAGTGGATTTGCTTACACATATTTGGGAAGGTGTTAATTAACATACTTGATAGGGTTAGTGTAAGGCAGGCAGTACATACTTTAGTATGTGTTAGACATGCTGACTAGGACCCAAGACTTCAGTCATACTTTTAACTTGGCAAGCTTCTTGGTTTTAAATAGTACTTTTGATCTCCACTGAAGTCTTCAAATATCCTTTCATGTGTTATCTTACCATTTGTTTCCACCTAGCTGTATTCTAATGTGTATTTCTCTAATGGAATTATTTATAATGCACTTCTATAAACTAACTGAGGCTGCTGTTATTCACAAGATTGTTTAGTGTGTCAGTTCCCTCCTCAATGGAAAAAAAAAAAAGCTACTTTATGTTGTGATTTTTATTGTGTTCCTGAGCTACACAGAAGAAAACATATTTTAAGATGCTTAACATAATAGCTATTTATCTCTTTGCAGCTGTGCCTGGGGTAAATATTTTATCTGTTTTTGTTATTCCCTGGAGAGGTTTTGTCATTGATTTTAGTAGATTTAAATACTCTGAAGTGACAGCTGTGTGAGAAGTTATGGCTTTAAGATAAAATTAACACCTTTTTAATGAAATTACTCCAGTCAGCAACCTTTTCCTCCTCATCCGTCTTGCCACTATTCTGGTGATGTCTCCAATCATTCCACTTTCTGGTTTTAAAATTGTCTTAGGTAGTATTTTTATGGGTACTGTTGTACAAAACATTTTTTTTTCCTTTTTCCTGTCTTTAAATATTATTTGTTCAGGTTGTACTGCTGTCATTAATGTACTTATTGGCTTTTTTTTATTCATTAAGGGATGTGTATAACCCCTGAATTGTGGGTTGTTCTCTCTGTTACTGGGATAAAGGATATTGAGTTTGGGATTTGGGCTTCTTTGAAATTGAAGTATGTAGCTAGGCAGTTACATTAAAGAAATATCAAAGGTATATTCAAAACAGAAAATTATGTGGTGTGCAGTGGCAGTTTTTTTGATCTGGTATGAGAAATTCCAAAGGGTTAGACTGTCAGCTTTCAAAATGTTGCAAGATTTGTATCTACTCATATCTCATTCTGAACACCACCTGCAGACATTTCTGTCATTTCTGGAGCTGCATCTTCCGTTTTAATTCTGATATTTTTCCTATTTCTCTATGGAAAACAGAAACTGCATGTGGCAAGTCAACAAAGCAAATAGAACAGTTTTTCTCATCAATTACAAAATGTTGTGGGTAAAAATGTAGGTTTGTATATTGACTCTCTCTCTAACGAGTTATCACTACACTTTTGTTTATGCAGGAAGAGAGCGTGATTTTTCATAAAGTACTTAAGCATTTTGAGTTGGCAAATACATAGTGAAAATCTGTATGAAAACAATGTTTGTTTACATGTGTCACTGTAATACAGATTAAGATACAGAATAACAAAAGTTTGTACAACATGATAACAGATTCCATTGTGGAGTACTGTTTGTAACTTCTTGATATTTGGGTTGCTGTAGAACACATTGCTGTGAGTTTATTTGAAATATTTAATCGTGTTTACAGTTCTCTAAGACTTTTAATGCTGTATTCCAAAAATCTGTAGTCTTTGCAAAGCGCAAATATCTTTTCATGGCAATGTCACAAAAGATGATTTTTTTTCCTCAGTTCCGCTCAATTACACAACTCCTATTACACAGAATTTCAGCTAATCCAAGAGGCATCACTTCAAAGACTTGTTGAGGCGCAAGACTTGCTCTTGATCTTTTACGAGCAAGCTGACAGTTTGCTTGTGGTATGCTGTCTGTTTTTTGTTTTATTTTTTGCAGGCTCTAAATGGAGAAAGAACAGCCTTTCTTTGTTGGACTATATGACTCTCAAGTGTAATAGTGTTTTGTGATTAAGATAATAACGCGAATAGTTAACTAGAGAAAAGGTAGATTTTTTTTTGCGAAGTAACAAGAGCAGCTGACCCAGAATAGTGTTAAAATAACTGTGCTCGTCTTCATAAGCATAAGCTGTATTTGATAAGTTGATTAAAGGCGGTTATGTTTTCCAGTTTGTGAACTCTGTCATTGTAGAGAAACAAATGAGCATGTTATGTCTTTCAGCTTTGGGGGATAAAATGGGTCTGGACAAGGTGCTTCGTAAGACTCATCCTTTACACTGTCTAATTCTGCAAAGACATTGCAATACAATTTCTTTGTGCTCTTACTATCAGCCACCATATGAAATCTGAGTTTCTCTTGAAATGCAAAGGGATTTGGGCAGCTTTTTTTTGGTGGAGAGGAGGTCCCCCTCCACACACCCCCCATAGAACCAGTAGTTTTCAACAAAACCACATGCTCATTGCATTTATGGCTAGCTGTGAGAACAATGTGCACTTTCAAGCTTTTTTTTTTTTACTATAGAGCACTTCAGAAAGCCTACTGTTCAGGTACTGGAGACAAGAACATAAGTTTGTTGTAAAGAATGATGAAGATTTCAAACTTTTTCTAAGTTTATTAATACTGTGTGTAGATCACTTGTTTCTTTAACCTGACTTCAGTAGAATGTTCTTTATGAACCCCTCACCACAAGAAGGACATTGAGGTGCTGGAGCAGGTCCAGAGAAGGGCAACGAAGCTGGTGAAGGGTCTGGAGCACAGGTCTTACGAGGAGTGGCTGAGGGAGCTGGGGTC